TTTGCAACCTTTCAAAGTTTGCTGAGTTTTCTAACCATATTCCTTCTTTTAGATACATAATTTGGTGTGCATCTGAGTGGCAGCAACATGGAAGGAGGCAAAAAAACAAAAAGGTCATGGAATTTAAGATCTGACGAAGGAAATCATGGTGTACACGAAACTTGTAAGCCTGAAGCTTTCTAGAATCAAACTAGTATCCTATTACATGATTAAATTTTGTAGACATAACATTTTGTGGCACTTAACTTTTGTTTTCTCTATATTTACTTTATTATACTGGTAATCACATTAATTCAGTGTCGTGAAAAAAGTCATTTATTTATTATTTAGGGAGAATGTTAAACAGATTCTCCAAATTCTTCAAAAATCTGGTTTCATCTCACTGACACATGAATAAAATTATTATTATTATGGATTTAACAAATCACCAAATTGAATTGTTACAAACAATTTCTTTACACCGGAAACCTGATTTTTTGCATTCCCTGGGGGAATGGAAATTGGTTTGAAAATCAAGGATAAATAATTTATCTTAACTTTTTATTTCTTATTTTTTTATCTTTCTTAACTTTTTTAAGCAACGTAAAAGACCACCTCAAAGCAAAGTTCACAATAATTATTACCAACTACTCTCAAACTTATAAAACCCTGAATACATAACATATGTCAAGAATTTTTATTGTGTGGTAATCAATCACTAGCAAGATCTTTAGACCACAGAAATGGATAAACCCATTGGTCATGGGACAAATCTGTTTTGTTTCAAAATAAGTCCTCTGTCTTTTTTATACAGGAATTTAGATAATAATGCTGACCTATCATACTCGAACACTAGTGAAGAGGGTTGGGTGGTTTAAATATAGAAAACTTTTTTCACAAGCAAATGCAATTCCCTGGGCAGACATGACTGTGCGATTGGCAGTTGAAGCATGACAGTCCAAATCAGTGGTCAGTAGTTATGCCTGATTGAAGATGAACGATTGTGCTTACAGGAGGAAGGGATGTTATCTTGATAACAACAAAAAGTGATGATGAACATTGATGAAAATGGGAGTCGTTCTGCAATAAGGTTAAGCGGCCACCCCTTGTTAAACAGCCAGTTATCAAAGTCCTGAAATTGTTGTCAGTAAAATGC